CCGGGGCCCCGATCGGCGATGATTGGGCGATGGGGTGCTGACGCATCGCCCCCTACGCCTATCCCCCCATCTCGGGGAGACGTCAGACTCGGATACGGGGGCTCGGGCTGGCCTCACGTGGCCGTCAAAAAGATTGAGAGGCCCGATCCGAGACTCGGCGCGAGCTCCCGCTGCAGACATCTCACTGAGAGACGGGCCGTCAAGATCCACCAGCACGGGCCCGTCAGAAAGCGTCGGCGACCACGAGCTCTGGCGAACTCGCGCCTCACGGCTTCCCCCCCCTCCCCTTGTAGGGAACCCACAAAGGACGTACGCGCCCAGCCATGTACATGAACACGACCCCTTGACCGCGAGACTGGCCGCGTGATACGAACATTCGCGCAATGCGAACTCTCGAAAACAGCGTGGATCCATGTACGTGTACGTCCTCCTTTCCCTCCTGACCCTGCTGCCCCCGACGAAGACCGCCGCGCCCCGCGGCGGAGGCCCGCTCCTTCAGCGCGTCCCGGAGCTCGAAGAGCTCCAGCTCCTCTCGCGGGCGGCGCGTCGGGGCGGAGGGCGGCGGGCGGCGGGGCCAGGCCCCCGCCGCCCTGCGCGGCAGCATTCCGCCGTGCCCCCCCCCGCGGCAGCTCGGCGTCGTGCCTGCGGCAGGCTCGTGCGGCGCCGGCGCGCGCCAAGGTTCTTGACACCGCGCGGATCGTGCAACCTGGGATCGATCGCGGCCCCGATCGTTCAGGGCTGGACTCGGTCGGGTCCGGTGGCGGTGCCATGTCCATCGGCGCTCCCGCGTCGCAGAATTCGACCTCGAACGCCTTCGCCGGCGTCGCCAGCGCGCCATCGCCGCATGAAGCCGCACTTTGCTTTTCCACGCCCCTGTGCACTCCAAGCGTTAGGTCGGGCCTGTCCCCCTACAGGCGGATTTTGAGCGAAAAATCAAAAATTACCTAAAAATATATCCAAAAATGATCCAACAATAATTTTAAGATCGTCCCTGGAGTATTTTTGACTACTTTGAATACTCCTCCTGTAGAGGGACAGGCCCGACTTAATCCAAGTGCGGTGTCCCAGCCGCCCTGCTCTGACGAACCAACAGCACACACCCATAACCATAGGGGCGTCGGAGAGGGCTATGGGTGCGTGTTGTCGGATGGGGGTCCCCGCTCGAACGGGAGCGTTCCCCAAGGTCCGACAACCCGCGCCCATACCCATAGCCAGTCCTCCTCTCAACGACCCCCCCATGCTCGTTCGTCATGCTCGTTCGTCATGCTCGGAGAGTTGCCACAGGTGCGCCTCTGCGCTGCCCACGGGCCCCTGGGGGTGCTCTTGGCCTCGCGCGCTCGCCTGCGACTGCGGCGTCGGCTCCGGGCAGAGCGGGGCAGCAGCGCCCGCCGCGAAGAGCACATGCGGCGCGAAGACCGCAAGAATCCTCGATGCTTCCATCTCCCTTCGTTGGGCAGGGACCGACCGTCCCGGCACTCCTAAGACCTAACTACCACCAAATGTCTGAGAACCCAAGAAAATCCGAATAAGACCAGCACTGTCCATAGAACATACTCCCGAGGCATGAAAACGGAACTGGCCCGGCCAGAAACGCTCTATCACCATCACGTGCAGACCACAAAAGGCCCTTAGAACCTTCTTTGGTGGACCTACAGTGGGGCAGGGTGCTTTTTGGGCATGGGCCCCCACTGTATAAGCTTAAGTCGGGCCTGTCCCTCTACAGGAATAGTCTGGGGACGATGTCTCAAACCGTTTGCGCACACGTTTGGGGTATTTCTTGGGGGTACCTTAAGTTCTTCGTCCAAAATCCGCCCCACAGGAGGCGGAGGAGGAGGAGGAGGAGGAGGAGGAGGAGGAGGAGGAGGAGGGGGGAAGGGAGAGGGAGAGGAGGAGGAGGAGGAGGAGGAGGAGGAGAGGAGGAGGAGGAGGAGGAGGAAGGAGGAGGAGGAGGAGGAGGAGGAGGAGCGGGTCGGGACGCCTCGCCGCTGCGCGACCCCGTGCGCTCCGCCAGGCCCGGCACTCCGCGCCTGGCCGCCCTGCGCGGCGGGCATCTGTCCGTACCCACCGCCCCGGGAACCGACGCCCCGGTGCCCCAGCGGGCGGTGGCCCTCCTCCTCCTCCTCCTCCTCCTCCTCCTCCTACTCCTCCTCCTCCTCCTCCTCCTACTTCGGCCCCCATGGGGCCCGAGGATGTCCATGCCCACCGCCTGCCGAGGCTCTTATAGGGGGCCACGTGCGAACCCCACCCCTACCCCCCCACGATTTCTGAGGGGGGGGGGTAGGGTTCACTTCGCTCGGGAGCTCCCGAATGAAGTGAAGCCCACCCTCCCCCTCAGGAAGTCGTGGGGGGTAGGGGTGGGGTTCGCATGTGGCCCCCTATCTGACGTCTCCCCGAGATGGGGGGGATAGGCGTAGGGGGCGATGCATCAACACCCAATCGCCCAATCATCGCCGATGGGGGCCGATGGGGGCCCCGTAGCCAGGGCGAGGCGCGCGGCGCCGCGCCGCGCCGCCGCGCCGCGCTACCCGCCGCTGCGGCGCGCGGGCACGCTGCGGGGGGGGGGGGCAGCGCGGCAGGCTCTTCAGGGCCGTGGCTCGGCGACCCGGCGGCCGGCCGCGGGACGCGCGGGGCTCGTCCGGGAGCGCTCTCGGCGAGGCGCAGCCGCCGGAAGAGGGAGCAGACAGTCCACCCCCAGAATACAGGGCAATTTCTGATACTTTGTAAGACATGATTAATGTATGCATACATGTATGCATGAACTCATCTTTGTTTTTTTATGCTAGATCCCCGCAGGTTTAATACATGATCCGCACGCGGAGCATGTATTAAAAACGGCACTGTAAGCACCACGACGAGCGAAGCCGTTTGGTAAACGCACCCACGGAAGGAATCGGACAGGGCAGGGCTGTTTCGTGAGCGCCCAGGGCTGTTCAGTAAGCGCGGATTGTCGGGGTCGGGGTGGTGTTTCCACCCTTGATGGAAGGCGCCCCGGGGCCGGAAGGTCGCCGAGGACCGACGAGCACGTCCGAAGACGTCGGACCTCGAGCCTGCAGCGGGGGTCAGGCCACAGGGAACCTTCCACGAGAGACCCAACCCGGGGGCCCCAGGACGTCCACTGTGTTCCGATACGGGGCCGTCGCGCTTTCCACAGCAAGACCGTAGAAACCCAGGGCACCCTGGAGGCAAGCAGGGTGTTTCTTGGCAAAGGTCTCTGCCGTATGGCGGGTTCGCGTCCTGCCGACTTCGGCATTGGTCCCGACACCGCGGGGAACGTCCAGCCTGGAACGATCGGCCGTTTCCGAAACGTCGGATCCTTCTCAAACATCTGCCGATTCTGGGCCGCCAGCGGCGTTCACCGTGGAACGCCGGCAGCGGGGTCGCTGCTGGTCGACACGACGCGAGCCGACCGTACCCTCCCTGACTCTGCTCGATGTCCTCCGGACGTGTGTTGGCGCCAACGTGCGCTTGTCCGCCGAAGCCCTTCAATGCGACGCAGGCAATGTAATGAGGGCCGATCAAGGCTGGGTGCGACCGATGGAGCTGGGCGGGTATCACACACACACACACACACACACTGTTTTGCGTCGCGGCCTCGCGCGCGTCGAGGCATAGAAGGGCAGAGAGCAAGAGAGTCGCGCGCGGCCAGCCCACTCAGGAGGAGGTGCAGGGAACACTATTGTTTCAGACCAAGACGCGGCACAGCAGATGCGCTATTCTTGGCTCAACGCCACGCTGAAGGACAAGCATGGGGAATTGTCAGTACTATTGTTTGATTGGAGCAAAACTTTTGACAATCTTAAACCTGAAGGTTTACTGCACGCCTTGCGCCAATTCGGAATCCCCGTACCTATGATTGATATCGTTGAGGCAATATACACAGCAAGTAAATGTGTTGTCAAAAACGGGCATGCCAAGTCCTCTCAGCGACCAGAGAATGCAGGGATAGCGCAAGGCTGCCCGCTATCACCTTATGTGTTCGTCATCGTGATGTCGGTGTTGATGGAAGCCGCGGACGCCGAGATGATGAAAGACATGCTGGAACGATGCCAGAAACCTTACGTCATCACCGAAGACTTGTACGCTGACGACACAGTGCTGGTATCTGAAGACGGGGAGCGCCTCCAACATCACCTGACTACCGTGGCCAAGGTCGGAAAAGCATTCGGTTTGGAGAGAAACGAGGGAAGACCGTACTCCTACAAATCAAGCCTTCATCAATTATTCTCGGGCCTAGTGAGGGGCCCGTTCAATGCAAAGATCACGCTATATCTTTGGGCGGCTTTGTAAGCGTAGACGGGAATCCCAAAGCAGAGTTGACAAAACGACTTGGGGAAACCAAAATCGCCTTTCAACAGCTCAGTGCTGTATGGAGCCACGCGAATGTAACCCGGAAACAGAAGATACATAGTTTGAAAGCGTGCATATTCTCCAAATTGCTCTATGGCTTGAAATTATGTGTTGCTGGCGGCTGACCCGGACAGGATCGATAGGTTCCAATCGCGTTGTCTTCGGAAGATTCACAAAATCCCTCTGGCCTTCATCCTCCGAGTGAGCAATGCAGAAGTGAGGTCGCTCGGAGGTGCCCACCCTCTCTCAGTTGATCTATGGCGAATGCAATCGGGGATGGACAGACCCCCCTCTAGTAACACGTGGTTTAGTGAAAACGGCCTGAGGCCCAAACATGGCGGGCGCAAGCCTGGAAAATAACGGCCATGGCGCCCTCTCGAGAACCGAAAACGGGCAATTCACGAATCGACGTGTCACTGTTGGGGGTTCGGTCCACCCCCGATACAATTAAATGTTTGCGGCAAGTTAGCAGGAGCCGGCCCGAACTCTCTGCCCAGGCGTATGGTGTTCGAGGAAAGCCGTGTCCACAGTACACTACCCAGGGAATGGCGTGCCCCTCGAAGGCGCGGGAGACCCCGTTTGCAGAGGGCGGCTTCTATGCACGCCCGCGCCTCGAGCGCAGCAGGAGACGAAGCCGACATATGTACATATACATATATATATATATGTGTATATAGATGCATCTACATATATATATATGCATACATATATACATATATATATATATATATACATGTATATACAAGACTGCAGTGGCGCTTCGCGCCATGCACCTTGGTCCTTGAAGATTGGTATGCAGGCGGAAATGGCAGGAAGGTCAAGCGGACAATTTTGCGATAACTCATCGCTGCCTTTTCTGGCATCGCCGTTATCATAATGTTGTTCGTTATCCCTCCTCCATGTTTTTTCCCTCATTCTCGCCATACCCTGGGTGTTCTCCCCATCCTCCTCTGCTCTTTTTGCGGAGGCTCCTCCTTAGAGAGCCTCTGGGGGCCTCACCAAAGTTCTCAGGCTTTTTTAGAGCCTTCTGGAGGCCTCCTGGGCGTGTTCTGGGGGCCTCTGGGGCTTCCTAAGGCCAACCTGCCTCTAGCCGCAGTCTCCCTGAACGCCCCAGTCACGATTTGGAATGCTTCGGAGGGCGTCTTGGGGCCATCTTGGGCCGCCATGGGGCTCTCTTAGGGCCATTTTGGATCCCTGTTGTGCAGTTCTGGGGCTCTCTTGGACTGCCTGCAAGCCCTTCCGGATGGTTGCGGGGCGATTTTGGAGCCTCCCAGGCGACTTCGGACGCCCAGAAGACCGCTGTCTTGTAGCGACGGGAAGCCGAAAAGAGGAGAACCCGAAATTCGCCAAAAACCTGCATTAAATCGATGAGTATTCCCTCTTGGGGCCTTCTTGGGGGTGCTCTTGGAGGCCTCTTGGTACGTTTTGGAGCGATCTTTCGGGGTATGACGGCTTCTTGGGGCGCTCTTGTGCTGTCTTGAGGTTCTCTGGGACGTCTCCGATGACCCCCCTGATCGCCCTAGGTGCTGCGAAGGCTTGGCAAAACGACCTGCGAAGCCCGGGGGGCCGCTTCGAGGCCCGTCCGAAGGGTCCCAAAGCCCCAGATCCCAGGAGTCCGGTTTTGGGGGGGGGGGGGTGACGGGTTTTCCCCCTGCCTGGGCTTGTAAAAAATATAGGAAGAGGAATATATATATATATATATATATATATATATCAGAATGTGCTGACCTCTCCCAGATCGCAGTCGGAGGCAGCGGTTCGACGCTGTTGCCAAGCATTGCGATTGCAAGCTCATGTTTCAGGTTTCTCTTTCCTTCCTCCCCCCCCCTCCCCCTCCATCCCTCCCTCCCCCTCCCCCCTCCCACATTACACAGTATGAGTACTACTATCCTCTCTCACATGATGACGTCCAGAAGATGTTCGGCCCCCCTCCGCGTACTGTTTCTGTACACACGGGATTCCGGCGAGTTGGGTTTTCGTTTGTGTTTTCGAAAATGTTGCTCCCGCTGCCGCGCTGACCTCATGTCCGCGCTTCCGCTCGTTCCGAATCGTGCTCCCGCTGCAGCGCTGGCCTCATTTCCAGTGCCATGCCATGGCATGCAATGCAATGTTATGTTGTGTTCCGCTGTGCAATGCCATGCCTTCAGCTGCAATACTATGATAGGCAGTGCTTGACAAATTACGCAGTGCCACGCCATGCTATGTATACCATGATACGCTTTCATCTTCAACGCCATGCTATGCCATGTTATGCCGTGCCTTGCCACGACATCCGACTGTGCGAATAGACAGGAGATTTACGCCATGGTAAGGGATGGGAGGGAAGGGCAGGACGTCAGATAAGAGGCTAGCGCACCTAGCTGGTCCCCCATCCCGTCCCCCCCCTCCAACCCTCCCCCTCCTTCCTCCATTCCCTCCTGCGTGCCGTCGCGCTGGTGTAGTTCCTCCCGCCGCCCACCACTGTAATGCGCAGTGGCTGCGTTCCAGCGGGCTTGCATTCAGCACGGAATGGTCTTCGCTTGATGTTTCCATGGCCTTTGCAATGTGTCATGTTCTGCCGATGCGCCGTCTAGGCGCGGCCTTTTCCTTTTTCCTGTCCTGTCCTGCTCCCCGAGCCACTCACAAGAACCACAGCGGTGGATAAACTACACTATCTGGACCAGCGCGAGCGAAGAACGGACGGGCCCGCATACGCACACACGGGGCTACAGAAGCGCCACGATGCGAAACGGCAGGACCTTCTCGGCAGACGTCAACTGTCCATCCCACTGATCCTGGTCGGGCCCATCCTGGGATCAGGATCGGTGCCTACGGCGGATTCGTGTCGCGACGACCTCGGCGTTGGCTTCTGACACTGCGTCGATCGCTCACCCTTGATAGATCAGCGGCGTTTCGGTCACCCGATCGTTCCATGTTGAAAGACTCTGAGCCACTGACGGCGTTCAACCTGGAGCGACCTTCTGCCTTGGCCAGGGAGGTATCGAAACCGATCCTGACCCCAGGATCGACCCGGCCAGGATCGCCCAGGTGGATAGCCGGCGTCCACCAAGACGGCCCGAATACTTGAGGTCACCTGACTTCGCGACCCGCGCCCCGCGATGCGCGACGCGCGGTTCTATTCGCGCCCTCGCGAGGCTACCTTGGAGAAGGGCGGCGCCTCTCCCAGCCCAACCCCCGACGTGCCAAGCGCGACTGTCTTTGCGCCCCCGGAAAGACCTGGAATACGGAAAGCCACCAAAACGTGCAGGCAACGCTGCAGCTGTGACCTGAGGCAACGCTGCCACTGCGACCTGAGGCCCGACGCCCGCCCAGCGAGAGCGAACGGCGAGAGCGAGGCGCGCGCCCCGCGCGAGGGGGTCCTCCGCGAGGTTGCCCCAGTCGGAACGCTCCTTCCCGTCTTCTGCGGGGCGCCGCCGCCGGCGCACGTGCCGCCGCCGCCGTCGCACGGCGCCGGCGTCACCGCCGCCGCGCTCGGTCAAACCCGCCGCCAGCGCCGGCGCCGGCGCCGCCGTGGTCGCTGGTCACGCGCGATTCGCGCTGGCGCCGTCTGAGAATGCTTAAGAATTGTTCATTCCCAGACGGCTGCGGCGCGAATCATGACGTGACCAGGGGGATGGGGGGTGCGGGGCTGGTCACGGGCGCGATCGCGAATATTTCTGGAGGCAGAAAAGGGGTGTGGCATAAAAGGGTACCGTGACAATGTTGAGTCTGGCGATGCCATTCATCGCAGATGGCATCTCAATTTCCACGATTGGCACCGCACCCTTTTATGCCATACCCCTTTTCCGACCTCCAGAATAACAGCGGGTATACGTGTGTTGTGTGTTGTGCGTGTGCGTGTGCGTGTGCGTGTGCGTGTGCGTGTGCGTGTGCGTGCGGGTGCAGTTGCGGGTGCGGGTGCGGGTGCGGGTGTGGGTGCGGGTGTGGGTGCGGGTGCAGGTGCGGGTGCGGGTGCGGGTGCGGGTGCGGGTGCGGGTGCAGGTGCGGGTGCGGGTGCGGGTGCGGGTGCGGGTGCGGGTGCGGGTGCGGGTGCGGGTGCAGATGTGGGTGCGGGTGTGGGTGTGGGTGTGGGTGTGGGTGTGTGGGTGTGGGTGTGGGGGTGGGGGTGTGGGTGTGGGGGTGGGGGTGTGGGTGTAGGGGTGTGGGTGTGGGTGTGGGTGTGGGTGTGGGTGTGGGTGTGGGTGTGGGTGTGGGTGTGTGGGAGTGGGTGTGGGTCAAGTTAGCCAGCTCGAACGAGCGAGAGGGCTCCGTCCACTCCCACCCGCCCTCCCACAACATAAGAAACAAGCGCGGCGCGTCCGACGCCCGTCGTTTATCTTATATCGTGGACGGCTAGACGTTCCCCGCGCGCGATGTGCGCCGCGCCCCATCTGTGCAGGTCCCGGGCCAGCCCCACGGGCCAGAGGCGTGCTAAGATCTCCGGTAACTAGTTAACAATCTTCTAGTTTGCGCGCGCGGGGCGGTCCCTGGGGGCCCCCGGACGAAAAGAACCCCGAGCAGGTCCTGGGCACGCCGGTCCCAACGATGGTTTTCTTCTTCGGCGCTGACTTCCAGGTCCTGGAGCGCCCCAGGAACGCCCCAAGAGAGCCGAGACGCCCCCGAGACGATCCGAGGGGCCCTGAGTCACCGAAAGATCGTACCAAGACGCCCAAGATGGCCTCCAGACGGCCGAAGACGCCGCCAAGAACCCGCGGGGAGCCTCTCGAGGCCCTCCAAGAGCCTGAACAAGCAAAAACCTCCCAGGCATTCGTCACCCCAGGGCCTCCTGGAACGCCCCGGCGCCCAATGAATTGGCGAGCTAGAAACGTGCGCCGAGCCAAAGCGGGAGCGCAACTTTGAGAAAATGTCGCTCGGCGCCCAAGCGGGAAGGTCATTTCATTCACTCCGAGCGGGGGGGGAGGGGGGTGTGCCGCGCCCAATTCTTGCCATGCACTTTTGCGGGGTGGGCGACAAGAACAGCTATGTGGGCAGGGACAATCAGCATGGCATTGCTTCTGACAAGTAAGGCGGCCCCTCCCGCCTTAGGGTTGCCCCAGAAGTCCGCGCGCGCTGTGCGCCGCGCTCCATTCCTGCCACGCATTTCGCATCGTCGAGGACAGGACAGGCCATGATGAAAGGAAAAACGGCAACTCGGTATTGTTTTTTACAATCAGGATGGGAGGGCCCGCAGCCCGCATGGACGTCCGCGCGCGATGTGCGCCGCGTCCCATTCCTGCCACATATTTCGCACCGTCGGCGACAAGGGAGGCCATCTGAGAGGAAAAAACGGAGACTTTGTATCGATTTTTAACAGTCAGGATGGGCGGGTCCGGATTGACGGCCGCGCGCGCGATGTGCGCCGCGTCCCGTATGTGCGCTGCGTCCCACTGCTGCCACATATTTCGCACGGTCGGCGACAAGGCAGGCCATGCTGAGAGGAAAAAACGAAGACTTTGTATTGATTTTTTACAGTCAGGATGGGCGGGCCCAGATTGACTGCCGCGCGCGATGTGCGCCGCGTCCCATTCTTGCCACGCTTTTCGCATCGTCGACGACAAGAAAGACGATGTTGAGAAGAAAAACGGCCACTTTGTATTGATTTTTTACAGTCCGGATGGGAGGTCCCGGATTGGGTCGTATCGGCCAGAATACGAGGTAGGTGGGGGTATATTCTAATAAGGAACAAGGATGTGGGTGTGGGTGTGGATGTGGGTGTGGGTGTGGGTGTGGGTGTGGGTGTGAGTGTGGGTGTGTGAGTGTGGTGTGTGGGTGTGGGTGTGTGTGGTGTGTGGGTGTGGTGGGGGTGGGGGGGGGGTGGGGGTGGGGGGGTGGGGGTGTGGGGGGGAGTGTGTGTACGTGCGTGCGTGGGTGCGTGCGTGCGTGCGTGCGTGTGTTGTGTGTTGTGTGTGATGTGTGTGTTGTGTGTGTTGTGTGTGTTGTGTGTGTTGTGTGTGTTGTGTGTGTTGTGTGTTGTGTGTTGTGTGTTGTGTGTGTTGTGTGTTGCGTGTGTTGTGTGTGTTGTGTCTTGTGTGCTGTGTGTGTTGTGTGTTATGTGTTGCATATGTTGTGTGTGATGTGTGTTGTGTGTGTTGTGTGTTGTGTATGGTGTGTGTTGTGTGTTGTGTGTTGTGCGTTGTGTCTACTGTGTGTTGTGTGTTGTGTGTTGTGTGTGTGTTGTGTGTGCTGTATGCTGTGTGTGTTGTGTTGTGTGGTGTGTGCTGTGTGCGGGTTGTGTGCGGGTTGTGTGCGGGTTGTGTGGCGTGTGGTGTGTCTGTTTGTTGTGTGTTGTGTGTTGTGTGTTGTGTGTGATGTGTGTTGTGTGTTGCGTGAATTGTGTGTTGTGTGTCGTGGGTTGTGTGTTGTGTGTTGTGTGTGTTGTGCTATGTGTGGTGTGTGTTGTGTGTTGTGTGTGCTGTGCGTGTTGTGTGTGGTGTGTGTGTTGTGTGTTGTGTGTTGTGTTGAGTGTGTGTTGCGTGAGTTGTGTGTGGTGTCTGTGTTGTGTATGTTGTGTGTTGTGTGTTGTGTGTTGTGTTGTGCGTGTCATGCGTGTATGTTGTGTGCGCTGTGTGTTGTGTGTTGAGTGTTGTGTGATGTGTGTGTGTTGTGCGTTGTGTGTCTGTTGTGTGTTGTGTATGATGTGTGGTGTGTGCTATGTGAGTGTTGTGCGTGTTGTGTGTTGCGTGTATTGCGTGTGTTGTGTGTGTTGTGTGTTGTGTGTTGTGTGTTGTGTGGTGTGTGTGTTGTGTGCTGTGTGTCGTGTGTGTTGTGTGTTGTGTGTTTATGTGTGTATGTATGTTTGTGTTGCCGCGAGGCAGGGTGGGATATTCATGTCAAGACTGCTTTTGAATTTCAAGCTACACTTCTGGCCCCCAAGGGGGGGAGGGGGCAGACGTCGCTGCGGAGCATGACGCTTCCCCCTGCCGAGTCGATCCGATCCTCCCTCTTCCTCCTCCTCCTCCTACCTCCTCCTCCTGCTCCTCCTCCTCCTCCACCTCCTCCTCCTCCCATCCCACCTCTCCCACTCCCCCTCCCCCATCAAGCACATGCGGCAAAAGGAGTGCCCACAGCCATGTCTTGTGGCTCCAGCCGACCTTGCATGCCGCTCCCTGCGTCTTCTCGCGACGCTGAATGGATACCTCAGAAACATATCCTGTTCGGCGTTCGCTAGCGGAGTGCAGCGCTTGTGGTGACGGGACGGCGACAAAGAACATCATAAAGGATTGCTCGGCTACGGGAAGCGTCCAAGTCGTGTGGCGCGCAGATTCTCGAATGAGGGACGTGCAGGAACAAGAACATCGGCTGATAGACTCATCCAAAAAGTTAAAGACAGAGCTCGAAGACGTCGAGAAGTAAGTACAGCGCGCTCAAGCGCGACCGGCACTCCCTGCAGGACGACGTGCAGGCTTTCGCGCACGACGAGATGTCTTTTTTCCGACCTGGCACCGGACACGGGGGAGCCGCTGTCCACTGCGGGGAGAATGCCGCTGAAGACGGGAACGCGATGCACATGTGGTGCTGTAGCCATCTCCACGACATTGGGCGGAAGGGGGGGAGGAGAGGGGGGGCCGACCCTCTGCTTAGTGCGACTGTTTGCGACAGTGCGTCTTATGAGGGGAGACTCCCCCTGCCTGAAACAGGCGCCTAAGACAGCCAAGATCTACTCCACGGGGGGGGGGAGGGGGGTGCGAGGGCCCGCGCCGATCGGCAAAACAATGAATAAGAAAACGATCAATGTATTCGTGTGTGTGTGTTGTATTGCTTGTTCTGTTCCCCACCCGACAGGTTGCGGTCGCTAGACTTTAAGAACAGACCTCCCGGCCGGCCCGCGCCGATCGGCACAAGAATGAATACAAAAAAGCGCTCACCTGGCCGACCAGGGGAGAGTGCCCCGACGCACGGGCACACCGCGCGGAGGGCAGGCCTCACGTCCTGAAAGCAAAGGATGTTGGGCATGAAAAAGATCAAACCGCCTGAGACTTCCCCACAAACTGGCCGCGAATCCGAGAGGAGGGAAGGAGGAGAAGAGGGAGCAGGAGGCGTCCAAGTAATAACAAGAAACCCATCTTAGGATATGGGGAAAAAACGCTCACCTGGCCGACCAGGGGAGAGTGCCCCGACGCAGGGGCACACACCGCGCGGAGGGCAGGCCTCCTCGTGTCCCGGGGGGCCGAGGACAACTGGGCCCCCGTGGGGGCCCGGCCGCGGGCGGAGCCGCAGGCGGAGGCCGCCGCCGAGGACCACAGCCACCACCCCCACCCCCCCAGCGGAAGGCTCCGAACGGATGGCCGCTAGCTTTACGCAGGCCGGGCATGCCCCCCTGCAGGCGGACCTTGGAGGGAACAAAAGATGGCAGAGGGACACGCAAGACTTTGACCCTAAAGGGGCCAGACTTTTATCCATGTCCACTGCGCCTCGGCCTTTGGGCGCCCCTTTCCAGAAAGTCCAAGATGCAGTGGATGCAGTCGGGCCGCTGAAAGAAGGCACGCTAAACAAGGAGCGAAGCCCCTTCTTGGCCCTGTAGGCGCCTCCGTGCCCCAGGAGGGCAGGAGGAACAGCACTGGAGGAACCCAAGGAACATCGAGCCCCTTCCGAACCCAAACTGTTCCTTATTTCAGCGTCTTGACTGTATGGGTACCAGCCATGCCCGCACAGTCGGGCAGCGGCCGCGCCGCGGCACCTCCCTTCGAGCTCGGGCTCTGCAGCGCCCACGGGGTCGCCGGCCGACGGAGCAGCCGTCGGCACAGCGGCAGGCCGGGCCCCAAGCGCTACGGGCGTTCCGAGGGGGGAGTGCAGACAGAGGTGACACCGTTCTTTGTGCTGGTGTGGCGATGCCAAACTCACGCCATGCTCTTCCTGAAGCAGCACGTGCCAAGTGGAGGTTTCCGAGCGGTTTTGTCGCATTCCGTATGTTCTCGTCTCCGTGCAATTAAGTTTTTCACATCAAATATGTCGGGGGCCTGTAGTGGCGTAAGTGGCTGCTCTGCGTGAGCTAGAGCGCCACCCCAGGCTTGGGTCCCAATCGCAACTCTGTGTCTGCACTTCTGGAGCCGCTGTCAATTTCAGTCTCCGTTCACCTCTGTACAAACAAGTTTGTCTCTTCATGACCTTTGCCTGCCACGTTCGTCCCAGTGCACCCCCGATCGTCATGGGGCCCGTCGAGTTCAGTGGAGGCGAGGTGGACTCACATGACTCAGTCATTGCCTCACACACTCCCCCCTCCCCCTTCCCCCCATTCCTTCCCCCTCCGCCCCTCCACCCCTTCGCCTCCCCCCCTTCGCCTCCCTACTGCCTCCCCCGAGGGCAAAGCAACCGCCTGACGCGTTCAGGGCCGCCTCCCGCGCGAACACCCCGATGGCTGTCGCCCTGCCCCGGCCCCGCTTTGCCCGCTTGGGCGCGCCGTCGTCGTCATCGTCGCCGTCGTCGTCGTCGTCGTAACCGTCGCCGTCGCCGCCGACGTCGCTGCCGCTCTCGTCGACAACGGGGTCGTCAACGTCGCCATCGTCCCCAACGTCGTTGACGTCCGCCGTCGACGTCATCTTCGCATGGGGCGCAGGGCTCTGACGGAGTGCTCGCGCCGCACCCAGAAGGGCCCGTCAAGAATCGTTCGCCGTTCAATAAAAAATCACCCTGGGGAAAGACCCAACCATACGCAATCGTGAATACCGCCGTTGTGATAACTGCCTTCGGGGCCACGAAACGCATGAAGGCAGCGCCAAATGGGGCTGGGCCGCCATGCGGGCGCTGCCGTTGGGGCCGCCCGCAGGGGGCGCGGAGGTCAGAAGAAACGGGCAGCATGCTGATGTCACCCGTTGCGGCTGACAGGCGCCGGGGAAAACGGGAGAAGACATGCGGACGCAGCCACTGGGGCATCTGGTGGAGTTTCTTTGGGGCCACGGTACGCATGCCAAGGTGATGGGGGTGGCGGCATGCGAATTCAGCCACTGAGGCCTTCGGTGGAACTCTCCATGGGGGCACGATACATGTGAAGGGTGTGCCAAAAGGGGGTTGGCGGCATGCAAACGCAGCCATTGGGGCCTTCGGTGGAGCTCGCAATGGGGCCACGAAGCGTGTCACGGGTGTGCCACAATAAAAGGGGTGGCGGCATGCGGGCGCAGCCACTGGGGCCTTAGGAAGAGCTCACTGTGAGGCCACGGAGCGTGTGACGGTTGTGCCAAAATGAAGCAGGTGGCGGTATGCGAACGCACCCATTGGGGCCTTAGGCGGGGCCTTATGAGACCACGAAACGTGTGAGGGGCGTGCCAAAGGGAGGGGGGCGGCATGCGGGCGCACGCAACCAATGGGGCCTTCGGTGGGACTCCGTATGGCCACGAAACGTGTGAGTGGTGTGCCATAGTGAGGGGGGTGGCGGAATGCGGGCGCAACCACTGAGGCTTTAGATGGAGTTCCGTATGGGACCACAAAACGTGCCAGGGGCGCGCCAAACTGAGCGACCAGGAGGAGGAGGAGGAGGAGAAGAGGAGGAGAAGAGGAGGAGAGGAGGAGAAGAGGAGAAGAGGAGGAGAACAGGAGAAGGAGGATGAGGAGGAGGGAGGAACAGGAGGAGGAGGAGGAACGCGGGGCGCTGTCTTTTCAAAGCGAGGACCTAGCTCAACACAAGATATTGGGAAGAGCTATCATGCACTCGGCGGACGCAACTACCAAAACCAAGACGAGCCATTTAGGACTCAAGCTTTTTGTCTTCGCATCGCAACAGCGGCAGTCTGCGCGCGCGCCCAGGCAAACTGGGCGAATTACGGCATTGCGAATTGTCCCGCATGCAAAGAGAATGGAGAAGACGAGGGGCGGCCGCGGAGACAAACGACGAGACAAGAAAGCGCTCACGCGGCGAAGCCGCGGGGGGGCGCGCGGGGCGGCCGGGGCCGCAGGGCAGCCCTTGGCAGCGAGCGCGGGGCGGCGTCGCGGCGCGCCCAGGGGAGGAGCCAGCGGCCGCAGTGCAGGGCGGGGCCCAAGGGAGCTGCACGAGCGGCGGGGGCGCGGCGAGGGAGGGCTGGTGGTGGCTGCGCGGGAATGCGGCGGAGGCGAAGCAAGACCGCGGCGCGGGGATGGGGGAGGCTGCGGGGGGCAGGGGGAGAGGCCATGCAAAGACGAGTGGTACGAGAGAGTCCATGCGCCCGGCTGCCACAAAGCGGCGAGTGAAGGCCACGCAACTTGCCAGCGGCGGCGGGGGGAGAGCAGAGAGGCAGCGAGCCGAGCCCAGGGCCGGCGCGCGCATCGCAGCCATGAGCAGGACGGCGCCCAGCGGAAGCGGGAGCTGGGCGAAGGTTCCTGGCGGGCAGCCAGGAGGAAATTCAAAACGGGAGGGCAACGCAGCGGCGGCGCAAAATGGGGCAGCACGACCTGACGGGCAGGGGCAAGAGCCGACCTGCTGGGCCCATGGCCAGGCGGGGCGGATGTGCGCCAAGCGGCCTGGGGCCAGTGCAATGCGCGGCACCCGGGGTGGATGCCACGCCCGCGGGGCAGAAGCGAGCGAACCACCTGGGATGAGTGGGGCGCAGAATGAGACGTATCGAACAGGTGCACAGACAATTGGATACCGCCACGAGGCGGACAGGGGCGGAAGGCGCCTCACGTGGGGGAGGGGCGCATGACCCGGGGTGGATGACGCGCCCGTGAGAACGCACCTAACCGGTGCACGGCCAGGTTTATCAGAAGCCGGGCCACGTCCACAGCAAAGCCAGGCGCACCACCTGGGGTGGCTAGCGCGCTTGGGGGTCGGAGCGCGGCGCGCCGCCCGTGGTGGGAGGCGCGCCCAACGAAACGCGCCTGACAGGTGCACAGACAGGTCGGCCAGAGACGTGGGGCGCCTTCTGGGATAGAAGACACCTCGCGATGGTCACAGTCCAAGTGGATCGGTGACACGCCCTGTGGGCCCAGGAACTACGTTGCTGGGTCGTCGTCGTCGTAGGCCGGGCGACGGCTAGAGCCCGCGCAAGCGGGCCCCATGGAGCAGCGGCGTATGGGTGGCCAGCAGCTCATACTGGTGGAGGAAATGTCGAAGGAAGGTGGCGTCGTGCCAGCCAGGGTCGCGGTGTTACCTCCACGCCGGGCGCGGAATCGATGCCAGGCCGCCCCACTTTCACTCCCTCTCTGCTGCGTCCTCCTGACCCAGGCCACGAGGCCCCCCTCGAGCTCAGGAAGTCGAGCAGGACGCGAGGTGGGACATCCTCAGGACGCGCCCGCTCCTTCCCCTGCTTCTTATAGTCCGAAATGAACGAATCCCATTGGACGCGGGCGTCTGGCAACGCGGCCCAAGTGTCCCTGACAAGTTACAGGAACTCGCGCCGCGCGGGCCGAGGAGCTCCCCCTTGCTAGCCGGCGCTGGAGCTGACGCCGGTGCCAGAACCGCCAGTGGCCGTCGTCACAGAGGAACTGCGAGGAGCTTCGGGAGCGGGCGGAGGGTTCACGTACGGATGCGTGTCCTTGGCGGCCCAATCGTCGCTTGCGCCGCTGAGCAGGCCCCCTGAGAGCTCTTGAGGCCCCCAAGAGGCCCCAAACCAAAAAACGCTTCCAAGAGGCGCACGAGAGGCCCAAGAGGTGCCCACAGGCATCCAAGAGGCCTCTGACCTACGACCTAGGCACGGTGGCAGAAACGGCCGAAGGCAAATGGATGCATGTCCGTGCACTGTCCGCTCTGGCGCTGCGCCTCCGCGTCCACGCGAAGCAGCGTGGTCTCGGAGCTCTTTGCGTGGTATCTGAATCAGAAGGTGCTTACCCGGCTTCATCAGGTCGAACCTCTCACCGTGCACATTCTGCAAGTGCGAATCACCCGTGGCAAACGGGCTTAAAAATGACCCACCCGCCGGGCACACCACACCCGATCCGCGCACCCGAGCCAGCGTAAGCCACGACGGCGTGGAGGTAAGTCTCAGCGAGGGTGTCGTGCCCCGACGCGAGCACTGTGAAAGAGCCTGAAGCCACCGTGGTGTCAGCCGCTTTGGTCCACGTGGTGTGCCAGGGATCGGTGAAGCCCGAGGCGAAGTAGTGGCCCCCTGGAAGGGACGCGTCCGAGCAAGCATCCGCACCGCAGCCGGAGTGTACGTGCAGGCCGCCCGACGTGTCGCTCGAAGAGAGTCCTGTCAGAGAATAGGAGACGGAGAGCAGGCCCACACTCACGGTGACCGTGACGGTCCCGGACATCCCGCGCGGCGTGTCCGGGGACGAGCCCTCGGCGGCTGCCAGAGACTCAAACCAGCCCCCGCGCATCCACAGCCAACCCGTGCGCCCGAGGCGGCGTGCAGCACCACGGCATGGTCCAGATTTGCAGCACTGGTGTTAAGTCGGGCCTGTCCCCTACAGGGGGATTTTCGACGAAAAATAAAAAATACCCCCAAAATAATCAAAAAATAATCCAAAAATAGTCTGGGGACTATTTTTTGAATATTGTTTGACCTTTTGGGGGCATTTTGGGGGTATTTTTTCTATTTTCCGTCGAAAAAAACCCTGTAGGGGGACAGGCCCGACTTAACACTGGTGTCATAGCCGCCTGCACCCACCGTGAAAAAGCCCTTGGCAACAGTGCTGCCAGCCGCCTTCGACCACGTGGTGTGCCAGGGGTCGGCAAAGCCCGTCGCGAGGTGGTGGCCACCTGGGAGGAGCGCGTCGGAGCACACAGCAGCGCCTGATCCAGAGTGCATGTGCAAGCCGCCCGAAGTTTCACTCGCCGCGAGTCCATCCAAGTAGTAGCCCAGTCGAAGGAGTCCAGAATCCATGACGGTTGCGGACACGACACCAAAGATACAGCTGGAAGTACCTGGGCAAGGACCCATTTCCGCAGCGAGTTCACTCGACACCGTCGAGTACGTTCCAAGGTAACCGCAACCAATCCGTGAGCCCGAGGCGGCGTGCAACACCACGGCATGGAGACAGTTCTCAGCGAGAGTGTCGTAGCCAGATGCGCCTACGATGAAGGTTCTGGAGGCACTCGTGGAGCCTGCAGTTTTCGACCACGTGGTGTACCACGGATCGGTGAAGCCCGTCGCGAAGTAGTGGCCACCTGGGAGAGACGTCCTGGAACACACATCAATACCTGATCCAGAATGGATGTACAACCCGCCCGAAGTTTCACTCGCGGCGAGCCCATCCAATGCGTAAGACACTTCGAGCACACCCGTATACACCGAGACAGTGAAAACCCCACTGACACCGCTAGAGGTGCCCAAATACGAGCCGATGCTTGATGATAGAGACCCGTAATACTGCAGGAATCCACAACCCACTCGGGCACCTCCGGCACCGTGCAACACCACCGCATGTAGCTCATTGTCGGCAAGAGTGTCATATCCACTTGCGCCCACCATGAAAGAACCAACAGCTGTGGTATCGCCAGAGCTTTTTGACCACGT